TTCCTCTTTTCTTAAACTTACATCGATTAGAGACAAGAAATGGGTAGATCGATCCCTTCTATCATAAAGTTTTCCTTTAAGTATTTTCCATGGTAGATTATAGAATGTATGCTCATTTGATCTCCCTTCCATTTTGCCTACATGAAAAGGAGAGAAAATCATCAATATTGTTAAACAAAAATTTATGTCGATTTTTTGTCAATTGGTTCATCGTCCGAGGGAGAAGTCGACATCCGTCTCTACACCTTTCTGTCTGGTTTCGTTGATCTGCTCGCCGATTAGCAATAAGCTGACTTAGGGCTTGACGATAGATGACAAAATTCTATTTTAGGCATATCTTCGAGCCAATTTGAATTTAATCATCTCCTCGCAAATCACTCAAGATCTTCAATGATCCAAAGACCATTATGGTTGCCATCATAAACATACACAAAAAATGTCTGTTTTAAGATTGTTACTAAAAGTGTATAGGGAGAAGTATTTGTAATGACAACAAGAACTCAAGAAAGAGAGAATTCCGAGGCACACGAAAATACGTTTTCCTCAAAACAGATTCGCTCTTTCTCACAGAGTGCTAGAGGATGTAAAAGCGTCTGTTTCCCAGGATACAACGGATGACGTAATATTAGTTTTGCACTTAGACAAAATCATCAGCGAATTGGAACCAACAAAAATGATGAACACCAAGGAACACTAATGGATATTTTTGGTAAGGAGAATAGAAAAGACAAAGACATTTTTTTTTCTTAGTGTGAGAATTCTGGAGAATAAGCTCATTCATATAGGAAAGAGAGAGTCCATTCAAAAGGTCAAAATCGTTATGCATTTCCACTTTAATTCACTTAAATATAGAAATTCAATGACCATTACATCCTCATTAAAAGAAATTCAATAGCCATAAACAAAAATAAATGATATGTTAAATTTCAGTCATAATCTCTCTATTTAGTGATTGGAAGAATTATATCCAGTTGTAAAATCCGGGTTGATCAAGTCCGTGAATTACATCCTGTCATTCATGTATGTAGGCACACCTACACACGATCAAACTATTTGACAACTATTATTTTCCAATCTCATGAAAAACTAATTTCTCATTCAAACTTTAGCTTATTTCCAACAGAGTCTACAAGTAGAGTTCAAAGTTCTGAGAATTTGGAGGGCCATTCCTTTAGGAACCGTATGAAAAACTTGACTTGTACGTAAACGGAAGTTGAGAGAAGTGACTATTGGAAAAAAAAATTCATGCCTAAAAAAATAAGGTACTCTTTTTATCTTGAAATGATCGGTTAATTTTAAATTTTCTTTTTATTATAATTTGAAATAAAAATAAAAAATCAAATTTGACAATCATTTTAGAATGAAGGGTAGAATACAGTATCTATGGTTTAAATGGAATTTTCAACATTTCACTCCGGTGATTTATAGGATGTTGATACTTTTATATGATTTGTCTATTTTATTTTTTTTTTCTTTTTTTAAAAAAAGAGGATGTAAAATGTATAATACTTCTTCCAGTCTTATTTATAAGGAGTAAATTAAATTAATTGAAGTACTTTCCGCCACAAATAGGACTGGAAGGAATAGTGTCTATTTTCTAAACTTTGTCAAATAGCTCTTTTAGTTCTTGATATTGAACTTCTTTTTTTTCTGGGGTTCTTATTATTCATTTCGCCATGTAGTCACTTCGACCCATATGACATGACACCAAAGGGCCTAATGGTGAAATAATAAAATTTATAAAGACCTGCCCATGGTTTTTCATCATCATCAATATTCTAGCTCAAGCAAATGATTCCCATATTAATAAGGGATAACTCTTACAGATTCATCTCTGAAACAAAACTTTTTTAACCTCCAATATATGCTCTTTTGATAGAAAACCAAAAAGGCCAACAACGAATTAACAATGAATAATGTCATTACTTTTGTTAAAAGAAAATCAAAAGCTATTAATTAACTAATCCTAACAGTGGTTTGATGCTAATTAAAATACTATTAGTCAATCTAGTTGCATGGCTTATACTGTAATCTAATGTGATATTGCATTATGCTTTTTTGAATTTGTAGCCCCCACGGATGGCTCTAACCTTTTTATATTTTTTAATTCTTCCTCCTAAAAAACCCTGTCCGATCAGCCACTCAAAAGAAAAAAAATAAAAGATAAAAAGAAAGAAAAAAAGAAAAGAAAACAAAAAATGCCCTCTCAGAATCAATAAAAAAAAACAACTTTTTTCCTTTCACTTTTAATCACTTTTTAATGTTCCAAATTCTATGTTAATTACCAACTAATTTTAAATTATGTAACTATACTTGGCATCCTTCACACGTGTCGATCATCTGAGCAGAATATTAACGTGGCAAACGTGTAAGCCTGTCTCCACCAAGAAAATGATCATTTCTTCAAAGGGATCAAGTTTAAGGTTTTCCAATTGATTGATTGCATCGTTTGATTTGACAAGATTCTTTCTTCAAAGTTAAGATGGAGAGGGTGGGGTTTTCAGGAGTGTTGAGCTGACCGATGATTAGTACTATAATCTTTTTGGTAGGGATTTAAAAGTGACCTCCTTAAGTATTCATATTTCCTTAATGACTCTTCAATTTAAGGACAAACTACACTATATAACAATCTCCTGATTTAAAATTTTCACTATACATACACGAGTTCAATTCATCATCCAAAACTGATTATAAATATTGAATCAAATGCTCTCTTGTCACTTTGATAGGCATTTATTTTAGAAATCAAGAGAGTACCAAGTAGACATTTATCTTGCTTTGCATTTCATCGGATCAAATGTCGATTTTGCACCTAAAGACATTTCTCTTCTCTATTATATTCAGAAAACTATAACAGTGACTGGCAGACATTATCCTGTTATACTTTTCTTTTAGGTAGTGAAGCGTTCAAATCTTTTGATGATGCAAAATATAAGGATTAAATTCAAAGCGACATCGATGAATGAGGGAAAAGAAGATAATGAACATTAATTTGGAAGGCGTATATGACTTGCACTAAAGAGCATTTAAGACAAGCCTAATGGCTTAGGAGAAGTAAAAGTTTGATTTTCAAACCTAATTATCCAATAACTATGTAACCACCACCAAATCAAAAGGTTAGAGCGTAGATGCTATGGAGTTGGTCTTTGAGGGCATATATCACAAAACAAGAACAATTGAAGGGGATCATTTGCAACTTATTCTTGTTATCTTTTGTCTTAGCGAATGTAATCCAACAAAGTGCTGCATTTTGGAACATAGAAAACAGTAAGTTAAAAGAAAAAGGAACCCAAAAAGCTAAAGAGGATGAAAATAATAAATAATGAAAGCCAATTCCAAGGGAAAGTTGGAAGGTCATTGGTTCTAACATAGGAGTTGGGTTGCACATGAAAAAGAAATTGCTTGCTGCGTAGGACTGAACTCACTGTCCCAGTGTCCCACACATGCAGGCATAAAACCCTTTTCTCGATCTTGAATGGTACGCATGATACCCAACTAAATCCTTGCCATTTAGATATTCTTTAAAAGCATCTAATTAATCAAACCCTCCTTAATCTTTTGTTCTTTTTGGTTGTTTTTTGAGGTCTCAAAACAATTCTAATGGCCAAAATATAGAGCACACATTCACATATACCCAAGTTATTAATTTTGAGCACCCACCTCATCTGTTATTCTAAATTCACGGGATAATCTTTAGTTATGTGTATTATCTTTGTGAAGAGCTGAATGATTTTTTCGACGTTCATATCAATTTTAAACTATTCATTGTTTGGAAAAATATAACTTTTTTACTTTCTGAATATTGATTTACAATTTTCTCTCCGAATATGGCACAAAGTACGAATTTGATTTCGGACATGATAGTTTACCGATAAGATGAACTTGATCGAGGATTTTTTATTTTCTTTTGCATTTTGCCCTCGTTCTTCTATTCTTCATTTTCAATTCTTTTTTAATATTAAAAACTTTATATTCAAAATTATTATTCTGATTAATTGGTATATGATTCATGTAGATCTTTCTTTGGAGGCGCGCCTTTGAAATTAGAATTGGGAATATGAAAAGATGACTTGGGAATATACAAATTAGACTTGTGTTGAGAGGGGAAAAAAATCAATCTAAAATGAAAGGAAAAAAGGAGCCCAAGCAACCTAGGATCAAACAACTGGCCACCTTTGCATGATGCTACAATCTCCCTGGCCAATCACAAAGCGACATGGCTCGTGTTGAAATGGACGGGATCAGTTGTCAAGAGACAAAATATTGAATCATCTCCAGAATCCAGGGATCGCGCCAAATGGCAAGATCTAATTTGGCAAGACAAATAAACAGATGAAGGGGTTAAAAACAAGCAAATTAACAGCCTTAATTTTGATCGTTTATGCCGGGGAACTCATAATATTTAAAACAAGCAAACATGGAGTTAAACATCTGGTCCAAAAAATACAATAAATGTTGGTAAATTAATAATCTATACATTAATAATTTTTAGCAATTAATAATTTTTCCGGTCCCAACTTGGTACCAACACAAAAAATAAAAAAAATCGATAAAATAATAAAATAATAATGTTTCAGAAAATCTCTCATATATTTATAGGTACCAACAATACCGTAATTAATAAATACCCTAAAAGCAAAAAACAAAAAAAAATAATAACTATAAATATTTTATAAATTATGAACTATTGATATTTGTTTTTTAGTTCCTGGAGATGATATAAACTATGTATGAATTTTTAGTATACAGTAATTATTGATTTATGACAGTTGGAAATTAAGTAATTTAGTGACAGTTCTTTTCTACTTATAGAAATTCTTTAAATTAATAATTTGTTAATTTCGACTATTTAATAATTCTCTAAATTAATAAATAATGGTGATCCTAACACTATCAATTTATGGAAGTTCCTGTTTTAATATATTTTCAAAGGGCTTATTTATGTACAGAGCATAACACAAAGATATTCTAGAAAGATCTGCACTCCCTAACAAATCAAATGAAGATCTTTGTTCCACTGTTAAAGCTTATTTTGTGGAATAACAACTTAAAATAACAAATGGTATTGTTAATGAATTAAACATCCAATGGTGGCCGCCAGTATTGCAATTTCACTTTTCTCTTCTTCTTTTTTATATGAAACTAAATTATTACGGGAAAAGTGAAAGGAATCTAAATGATGGATTCTCCCCCCTGCGGATATATAAAAGCCGGAAACTAAGCAAGAAGAAGAGCTAAGTTTTGCTTCAACCAGCAACTTAGAACAAGAAGAAAAGTGGGCAACCTTGATGCTAGTCCAAACTAGTGGAGAGGTTGTTTGCTAAAGCTAGCTCCAAATCCCCCTCATCCCTCAAAACCCCAAAAAAAAAAAAAAAAGATCAAAGTTCATTTTGTACACAATTAACATCAGCTAATCCCCCCAAAGAAAAAAAGAAAAAAAAGAAAAATCAAGAAGCAATTTTTTCTTTGCTTTGATTGTTTGATAATGGCTCGTGGAAAGATTCAGTTGAAAAAGATCGAGAACCCGGTTCACCGGCAGGTGACGTTCTGTAAGCGCCGAGCGGGGCTTCTTAAGAAGGCTAAGGAGCTATCTGTGTTGTGCGATGCTGAAATTGGCGTTGTCATTTTCTCCGCCCATGGCAAGCTCTATGAATTAGCCACCAAAGGGTAAATTTCTTCCTTAATTCTAAACTATGTGATTTAGTTTGTGAGTGTGTGTGGCATGCACGTGTGTTCAGGCCTTGAGGGTGTGAGCCAGTCTATAAATTCCGTCATGAATAAAATAGTTCACTTTATCGAATTATTATTTAAGTGATATTCTGTTTTAAGTACTTTTACGGAAGAAGATGTTCCGATTATGATAAATTGATCTACGTCAAACTTTTAACCAATTTTTTTGTTTTTTTTTTTCACATATTACTCTATTTTCTTCAAATCTGACTGAAATAGTGAAATGCTTTTAATAGGCAACGTGACTTAAAAAGGGTTTTTGCATAACTTTATAATTGATTGGTATTAAAAGCTTAAACCTAAATGATTAAGATGTGTTTTTAGGATAATTTATTCTGATGTTTCTTTCCTCTTTTTTTTGGTGGGTGGTAAAAAAGGACCATGCAAGGCCTGATTGACAAGTACTCGAAAATTAACTGTGGAGGAGCACCACCTGCACCACCAGCACCCGGCGATCAACTTTCCAAAGAGAGAGACGAACCTCAACCTCTGGTGTGTTAAAATATTTCCAACTCTGAGCACAAATATTTATATGTTTGGAGATATGTACGTACAGTTTAATGTATATTTCATCTGTTCCATAAAAATAGTCATATTTATGAACTCAAAATTTGAATGCATGGTTTCATTTCATTTCTGTGTCATCAATGTCACGAGAAAAAAAAAAAGTAATGGAAAGTCAAACATGCCCTAAATATGGAAAGATGCTTCTTAATCTTGATCATACATTTGTGCAACTCTAGATGTGTTTGAAGTGAAATTTTATTCCCGTTGACAAGATGCCATGCAAACTATCTATGTTATATTTATATAAATGCATAAATTTCGTACAAACACTCATATTAAGAATCGGATGCTGGTTCTAGATTTGTGGTACAAGGGCATATATAATTTCCTTGTTTGGTAGCTTTGTGGAGGCAGAATTTGTTCATGATTTGGTGCCTTTTGTAACACGTACATATTGATAGAGTTGAAATAAAAATTCATTTCTATGTGGCGCTAAATTGTTTATCTCCATTTGGAATCATCAATTGTTGAGGGATGTTATGATAACATCATCATATATACATGATTTAAACAGAGACCAGTTTAAGTACAAAACATGTTTTTAGATTTTTCAACTCTGATTTTCTTTTAAGTCATGGTTACTACACGTAAGAAAAGAAAAAGAAAAGAGTAATTTCAATTATTATTATTATTATTGTTGTTGTTGTTGTTGTTGCTGTTGTTGTTGTTGTTATGTAGTAAATCGCGCAAATATTCCTTTAAATTGAACATCCAAGAAATGTTTTTTTTTTCCATCATTTTCTGAATCTTTTAAGTTTGCCCTTCTGCTCAAAGTTTCAGTCTGGTAATGAATAACGTATGATTTATTTCATTAACAAAAGACAGAGAGAGAAACAGAATCCTTAGTTTTTAACTGAAGGCAAATGCGTATACTTCGAAGATAAACAATATCTCACGCCCAGTTTAAACGATCTCAAGGAGAGAAGTCAAAGTTGCGATTTAGGTCCTAATTTTGTGGAGCCCCTAAAGTTAGTGAAGTGCAATGTTCATGATACGAACTATTAAACCCTAAAGTTATTATTTTAAAACGATGGAGAACTGAATTCTGATAAGAAATATAGGAACCATAATTAAAGATAGTTTACACGCTCATTTGTTTTTATTAACTTTTCAGCTTTTTTAAGAGATATATATTTCTTTTTTTCTTTTTTTTTTTGGTTTTATTTGTGTTTGAGTGTCGGAGTTCCATTAGAGTCACTGCTACGAGTACAAATGACGAATGATAAAGTCTATATAAAATGTATGCCACTAACGCCCTTATCAGTTGAGAAATCACACTAGAAACAATCTTTTGCTGGAAAAGAAGAAACAGATGAAATGTATATAATTAATTTGTTCTGATAAACAAAAGGAAAGAAGTAAATAAATTATTTGATATTTCAGCAGAGTGCTTTTTGACCATACTATCAAAGTGCTGTATGCATCTTTTGCTAGAGAATCACAGCCATGATTTTTAAGTGATTCATAGCCTGGAGTTTACAAATATTTCAGTCGATACTTTTTCCGACTTATCAAATTCTTTAATACTCCTTCTGTACTGAAATAATTGTATTGCTCATTTTAGAAAATTCAAACCGGTAGATATTTCGTGACACAGAAAGTTTATAGAGGATTACGGAATAAATCAGTTAGGTTGAAAGTTTTAATGCCAAAATGGTTTTTATTGTATTGACAGGGAATACATCAATGTTCATTTGAAATATTGAACATGATTTTAATTTTACCAAATTATCAGATTCTTTATTAATTATATCCCCCAGTAGCAAAAACGACCAGCTAGAAGGATAGTTTGCATTTAATTACATAGCATGAGTCTCTGTTTATTGGTAAAAAAAAAAGAAAAAGAAAAAAAAAGATAGTTTCTTAAGGACTATTATGAATGTATACAGAATATACATATATGTTCTTTTTGAAAATAACGATCATGATTAATTAAAGATTGGTACCGCTGGTCAGGACCCAAAAGAGGAGATTCACAAGCTCAAGCAAGAGATTGAAGTACTCCAGAAAGGTCTAAGGTAATGAAAACCTTTTTCTCATATTCGGCTACAAAATTTTTTTCTGCTTATATATTAGCCTAGAGATTTATTTCTATACTTTTCCTTTGTATATTTTGTACACATGTGTATGTGACTTTTTTTTTTTAATTATATTACGTATCCGTGTTCGAAATGTATGTGACTTTTCTTTTCTCACAAAAGTTGGTTTACAATTGATTCAAAATCTTCTTTTCACTTTTCATTCATTGGCCAATAGAATTCTACTTACTAATCAAAATATTTTTTCACTTTTTTTATGCTCGAAAAATTCCTACTTAATTTCTATTGAAACCTATGACATGGTGACTAATGCGTGGTTTACGATTAATTCTACCGTCAGTAACGTATGCAAATGTTTTCAATCGTTTATGACGTCTTCTAATTAAGTTATTTGCAAATATTAATTAAGTTCGAGACAGATATTGCCAGGAAAATTTAAGTGTTCCATGAAATCTTTTTATGTCTGAAACATTGTATTATTTACTTACACCAAATAAACTTGTTTATTTTTTCTTTTCAGTAACATTGGATAAACAAACTAATAAATTTCTTTAAACACTTATTTTAATTATTTGAAAAAAAAAATTGGAACACTTTTACAGGTACATGTCTGGAGGAGGAACAGGGACAATGACCTTAGATGAGCTAGATGTACTTGAGAAGCATCTTGAAATGTGGATATATCATATCCGTTCAGCAAAGGTATGCTAATTATACAGTTCTGATTTTTAAGGTTGTTTTATTTGTGTTCGTTTCCTTCATAATTCCTAGGATTTTGCTTAAGCTTTTGATAATTAAATTTAATTTTAAGTATCAATTTCTTTGCCGAAGTATATATGCAAATCCTTTGACCAAGTTCTGCCTACGAAGCTCTCTGTATCATTGAGCCTCAAATTTGAGAGGTGGAAACATAAAGCAGAAAAAACAAATAGTATCCTCATTACGAACAAAAAGATTTTGCTTTTCGAACTCTACATGACGAGATTTGAATATCCGATCACCATCTTGTGATTAATAGTGCTTCCTTTGTCCCGTTTAACTTTTGAATTTTAGTTCAATTTGTATCAAAATAAAAATCGAAAGTGGATAATAATCTTAGGACAGATGGAGTATTTTCTATCTTCTTTGAATAACTTCCATTATCTTACATGTAACATTGTATACGTAAATTTGATGCACACGAATGCGCAATGTTTAACGAAATATCAAGATAACATGGTGCCGTGTCATATTATGCAGATGGATATCATGTTTCAAGAGATCCAGTTGCTGAAAAACAAGGTAAAAATCAACTTTCAAGTCTTTGGTTTCATATGGATGATTTGATCAATTCAAAGTTTAGTTAGCCGTACGAAAAGGCTGATATTGTTCAATGTTATTTTAGGAGGGGATACTGAAAGCAGCTAACAAGTACTTACAAGAAAAGGTAATTAAAAACTTAAAAGTAACAATTAACTTCTAGTACTTATGAAGTAATGACTTCTTTTTTAATCCCAAATAGAACTTGATCTCCTCAATTAGTAATAGATATATACAGTAAAAATGCGCAGTGAAATGGCTGAACAATATACTAAAATACAACAAAACCCTCTCGACTACGTTACATGGGAAATCCAGCGAAATGTTCGTGCCTTTTCACATGTCTGTTAGGCTTTCACTATCTATATCATTTTTTTGATGGTTTTTTTTTTGTTTTTTTTGTTTTTTCTTTTTTTTTACTTTTGCAGATTGATGAGCAGTACGATCAGTATAATATTACTGAGATGGTACCTATGATGACTACTAACATGCCATGTCCACTAACTATACAGAATGAGATTTATCAGTACTAACTACTTAGGGCTTTCCAAAAATTAATAATAATGGTATTGAAGATTGTATGAAGGCATGAGATTAGGCTTTGGCCAATGTATCTTCAGTAGCTAGCAATGGGTATGGTGAGTTCGAAAAATAAGTTTGCATATTGCCAGAAAACTGTTTTTGAAAATATGCAACTTTGTGTGTAATTCTAGTATTCAAATCGAACACTCCTTTGTGGTTTGTGATGTATATTGACAATATCAGTTCTTGCTTCAAATTTATCTTACATTTGCTCTATGTAGATCAGTATATGCCTTCTAAAATTGAAGTTAAAGTAAAAGAATGATTCTTGTAATTGGCGTTAGAATCGTGACTAGAACAAGTATCTAAAGGCCACAATATCAACGGATGGATCGAATTATCCTTCCCTAATTTACAGGTTCTAGCTCTCAGAGAAATTGGCCTAATCTTGATTCAACTCTTCCGTCAACACATCTTCGCTCAAACTGCACTTCATGAGGTTTTCGCTATGTTATGCGTTCATGTTCTCTACCAAAATATTCTTTCATTTGGGATGTTTAAGGTAAAATGCAAGCAAGCCTATCACAATGTGTCATACTGATGCGATTATTAATGGACTATTAATGATTATTCACAATCATGATGATGTTGAAAATTTAGTTTGCTATGTAAAATAAAATTAATTTCGAGTTTTAGGTTAGTAATTAAGTTCAAATACATGCAACTTATTATGTTGAAAAGTTTGCAACTCATCACGTAAACTTGTGATTATTGGCTTTAAATAGGTGGTTTATTAAACATTTTAACTAATTTGCTTTTGCATTCCTAGATTCTCATAGAACACTTTGGAGGTGCCTGTTTTGGTGGATTCATATCCCAAGAATGGGTTCATAATCAAGTTTTGTAATTTACTTGCTTGGTTCATAAATTATTGAAACGAGGAGGTCCAATAAAATTTGTATTGAAAGTCCAAACTTTCATTGCCTAACACTTGGGAGGGTATGAATCATTAGAACAAAAATTCTCATTGCTAAGGCTTCTTCATTCTAACCTCATCATCTCTTATGCAATTTTGCACGGGCGTCCTTCACCTCATCCTTAGAAGAATAAACAAAACCCAGACAGAATTCAGATTTTGTTGAATTAAAAGCCAAAGATGTAACTGATAATAAATGAATCTCCGATGACTTCTCGTAAAACACCGTCTCTGCATTATATTTGGCCATCTCCTCAGATTTCTGCAGATGCAGTCGTTGTGGATCTCTCAATTTTGCAATTGGTGTGATTGTGATCTGGGTTACATCTGGTTGCAAATTTGGACAATGATTTGATTAATTCATTGTTTGTTTGAGGATATATGAATTATGTCTCCTCTGGAATCTTGTACAAAATGATGCAAGTAAGATTTGTTCTAAGGATGGAGAAAGCTTGAAGGTGATTTTGAGGAAGTAATGGTAGCGGTGGCGGTGGTCGAGCAGTAATGAAGAGGATGGGGTAGAGGGACGGTAGTGACTGTCCTCGAACCACTAGATCATAGAAAAACTGAACCAAAATGAAACAGGAGAAGGGGGATAATTTGGCCACTCACACTAGTGTTGTTAGTACTCACGGGAGTGATGTTCTTTATTAACATGACACTAAACGAAATCAGTAAAGAGCAAGTACATAAGTAAATTTAAGGGGACATAGCATGAAAGGTAGTAGTTTAGAGAAGAATGCAGGGTAATAAATAGAGTAAGGGACCTGGGGATCCTTCTCCTTTTCTATGTGATACGGAATGTATTCGATCAGACATAATATACCTGTAAATCTGCCAATATTCTTAAAAAAGTTCCTCTAGTGACTAACAAGCTCCCATCCTGGTAAAGTGTTAAGTCCTATCATGTCATCGAAAGGTAGACTCTTATTGATTGCTTCGTGCCAACTAGGTATCTCCCAATCCTAATTGAACCTTTACACTGTTACCTTTAAATCACATGCCAATTTCAGTTGTTCTAAGTTGAGTTTACCTTTCTGGGATTTCCCCAGTGATAGAGAGAGGAAAGCTAATAATGCGATGGCTAGAGATTAGGGTTTGTTCAAGGTTACTTTTTTAATTTTCAGTTTCAATAGGGTTTTATTTATTGGTTATTATTCTATTTAAAGGCCTTAGCCGTCACTTGTGAGTAGTAGTTGTTTTTTATTAATGAAAAATGAGATTTTATTCTCGAAAATCATTCTTCTGTTCCATATAGTTAGTGGTTGAATTAGTCCCTAATTACTTTTGTTCCGTATTGTTGGTGATTGTAATTAGGTTATAGTCGCGGTTTTGTTCCATAAGGTTGGTGATTCCGTAATTAGGTCTTGAATTCGATTATTCCACAATCGTTGGTGACCGTTTTAGGATTGTTCTGATTGATTCTAGGCTTCCGTCTGCATCAGTTGGTATTCAGAGCCGAAAGGTGTACCAGTATGTCGGATTGTAAAAAACTTTTTTCTCTTGCACTTGATCTCGATCCATATAGGTTGGAAAATTCCTCCTTCTCTTGCATTTGATCTCGATCCATGGGAAGATCTCCATATAGGTTGGAAAATTCCTCCGATCTATATTTACCCGGATGACTTTGATGAACCAACAATTGATAATGTTGGATTTTGTCAACCGTCTCCAAAATCTTATGATTTCATTTTTATTTCGGATGCACACAATTACAATTTTCAAGAAGTACCATTCTCAGGGGCTACATATTGTATTATACAAAGTGAGTTACTCAAGCAAATCTCCCAACTTGCGAACCACACTTGGAGTCCTCTTATTTTAATCTACTTTTCAACGTGACATGCAAATATCAAATTGAGCCATGTGTGGGTTTTAATATCAAGACTTGGCCAAAGGTTACGTTTTTTTTCTTGGAAGCCGTTCAATACCAAGCCTTATCTACATCCGCTCCACTTTCCTTTTGATCGGGGTCCTATTCAACTCGAGGATGAATTTTTTTTTCAGTGGAGGAGAATGACAGAGGGAGGACAGCTAATAATGCGACGGCTAGGGATTAAGGTTTGTTCAAGGTTACTTTTGTAATTTTTAGTTTCATTAGGGTTTTATTTCTATGTTATTAATCTATTTAAAGGCCTTAGTCGTCACTTGTAAGGAGTAGTTGTATTTGATTAATGAAAAATGAGATTTTATTCTCGAAACTGATTCTTCTGTTTTATATAGTTGGTGGTTGAATTAGTCCCTAATTACTTTTTTTTTCCATATTATTGGTGATTGTAATTAGGTTCTAGTTGGGGTTTTGTTCCATAAGGTTTGTGATTCCGTGGTTAGGTCCCGATTTTGGTTGTTCAATAATCGTTAGTGACTGTTTTAAGTTTGTTCCGATTGATTCTACACTTCCGCCTGCATCACCCAGTATGAATGTGTAAGAGCTTAGTTGATTAGACTACAAACAAGGTTAATTAACTAAAACTGGGCACACTTACATTGTTCATATGCAAATCTAAAGTATTTTCATATAGAAAGAGGGATTCAACCCCAGCATTCAACGTAGCTACTCATAATCAGTAATTCAAATACAAAATCCATGAAAAACGGAGCACAAAACATGATTACAAGGCTAAAGGAACAAAGAGAGAGTGAAAGATACAATCTTTGGATGAACATCAGATCACTCAGGCGAGCCAAAATGCCACTCACCTGAGCATCTATCTCTACTAAACTGCCTAAGAGACTCTGTTGAGAGCTCGTTGCTAACTCTCTACTTAGCGAAATCCTATACTGAGCTATGTCTCATTCTCCTCCCTTCTACAAATGGCCGTTGCTTCTCCTTTAATAGGCATCATCACCCTGCGATTACGTTTGAGATTCAACCACATATGCCAGTTATCAAGAGGAGCTTGAGCTTCATTATTCTGCATGGTACTTAAGGTGTGATGCCAGCAGCTATTACTTGTCATTTTGCTAGTTTTTCAGGACCACAACAGTCACCTATGATGGTTGTTCCTTGCTCTCTACGGTTTTACTCCAACGAGATAAGAATTGAGCCAAGGAAATGGTCCCGAAGTTGCCTCCTTGCCACAACTTTCCTCTGATTTTTCCCGAATCACATTCTCAGACCAATCGCCAAACTTGTCTTTTTGTGATTTTTCCTGTGATTTTGGCCATTTTACAATTTAGTTCCTGATCAGAGAAAAATAGAAAAATCACTTATAATTATACAATTACTATCTAACTTCTACTACATTATATGAGAAAAGTGACTAAAAGGAATGCTCATAGTCATGTAAGTTTGACGCTCATCATTCTATCAAAAGACCGAAGAAGGCTTCTCATTTGAAGGATAGGTGGATGACTTAATTGATGGGTGTTGAATCCACCAAAATAAAACATACTTAAAACTTGTAGCAAGTGATAAGTAAGGTCGATCCCACGTGGAAAGTTGAAAATCTAATAATCCCAAATGATTTGACTAAAAACAACAAGGTAACAAAGAAACAGATGACTTGCAAAAGTGATCAGAAACTGACTTAGCTAAGTGTCTTGGGGTTCCTACTCCACTATCCTCTCTCTAGCTTCTTATTATGGTTGCTACTTTTATGGTATGAAGCTGTACTGTTCGATCAGGCACCAATACATCGTAAGGTCACTTCTGATTGTTCCAGATAACGTCCTAATAGCAACAAACCTACTAACTTCCGTTATTGATTCCAGAATACTATTAGGCCATTAAGATCATAAGCCCTTATAATCACCTCGTGCCAAACAACTAACTTCTGTTTTTGTTTGAAACCTTGGTCTGTTATCCCCTCGTCACCGGTTAATACTAGACATTGTAAGTTTAGTTTACCCTTCCAGGATTCTCCTAACATGCATGCACAATTTACTAGTTGATCATGCTAATCAAAAGGTTAATTCAAACTCTAGTATTAGGCACACGAATATTATCCAAGCACAACCATGAATAATAACTTGAGAGATTCAAGGGATTAAAACCCCATAAACAGTTTAGTTACTCATGCTCTTAGCTACAATGGATATAAAAATGATACACATTGTCAAAAACATGATTACAAACAAGAAAAATACAGAAAGAAGAAAACAGAGCAAGGGAACAAATCTTAGATAGCTGTTGGAGGCTGGCGACTTGGGCAATTGACTCCGTCACTTCCCCAAGTCCCCACTTGTATCTTCTATTGCTTCCCTTCTCCTTTCTTGACTGTATATTTCTATGGTGTCACTCCCTCCCTCTCTCATTCTAGTCTCCTCCTCCCTCTGTTGCTGCTACTCTTCTTCCTTTTATAGAGGAGTATGGCCTCCTTCATCTTGGTTGTTGCTTAGTT